CACCAGCAGACCCTGGATGACCTACAGGCAGAAGAGGACAAGGTCAACACGCTGACCAAAGCTAAAATCAAGCTTGAACAACAAGTGGATGATGTAAGCCTAAAATCATGTAAAAAAAATTTTTTTTAATTTTATAACAAACTAAGTAAACATGAGTTTGTATTCTTATGATGTAATGAGGACTTTTCAAAAGCTTCCAATGGATACGTGTATATGACATTATCTTTGCTACAAGGTCTAAGATGGACACCCAAGAAGTCAAAAAAAAAAAAAATCAATAAACAAAGTTGTTGGTAACAGACAATATACATAAAAAGACTCAGGGAAAAGGAAAGCTTGTGTTTACCAAAGAAATCTGTACAAACAAAAAATGGGTTTGGCCTGGGCTTGAAAAGCAAGAGGCCATGCAAAGAAATTGAGAGATGCTCCAAATGGGGAGCATAGCAATAGCAAAGAAGTAGTAAACATCCATAAGATTCTCTGTCACAGGAAGAAAGGTTTCCAAATAAAGAATGTGGAAGGTGAATTCGGCTTTAAACGTAGTCTGATACCAAATAGAGAACCCGCTATAAATGTGTGCATCAGGGAGGAAGTGACAAAAGTCATGGTTAGAAACACAGCTGTGGGGTCTGTGGGGTCTGTGAAGCACAGTCACAGTGTATTCCGGTGGGGAGATAAGGAAGGCATGCTGTCTCCCTGGCAGTTTACTGTAATGGTATGGTAATGAGGTACCCTTCACCTTTCAAATGATGATTCCTGGGACTAAGTGAATAGTTATGAGAATGGAATAGGTGGGACAAATTTGCCTAATTCATGGAAAAATCAAAATAAGCTGCTGATTAGATAGGAGTTAAATGTCTACAAGTCAAACCTGGGATAAAAGATGGTAACATTTCAGGAACTATATTCATGCATTATTAACTTATAGCTTGAAGGATCCCTGGAACAAGAAAAGAAAATCCGCATGGACCTAGAAAGAGCCAAGAGGAAACTGGAGGGAGACCTAAAATTGGCCCAAGAATCCACAATGGATATTGAAAATGACAAGCAGCAACTCGATGAGAAACTCAAAAAGTAAGCAATGAGAACACGTCTATGGGGAAAGTGCTACTACTGTTTCTGTGACTGACATAAAGTGCCCCTTTGACAGGAAAGAGTTTGAAATGAGCAATCTGCAAAGCAAGATTGAAG